GGGTTCAGGGTTTAGGGTTTAGCCAGCTTCGACCTGATGGGTTTCGTTGAGGGTCTCAAGGTACACTCACATAGAAACAAGACTAAGCAAACGTTTCGTTGATGTAGGTCATGTAGGTATACGTGTAGGTTTACATATATATATATANNTATAGAGAGAGAGAGAGACATACATACATATGCGTACGTGTATATATATATATATATGTATGTATGTGTGTGTGTGTGTGTGTATGGGTATGTGTCTATATACGTCTCTATGTGTGTAAACATATATATATATATATCTTTGTATATACAATTACAACGGACCTAAACTATTCGGCCTGAGATGAACGCGCATCTTTGGGGTGTAGGGATGTAAGTTTCATAAGCTAAGGATATAAACATAAGCGCCAACGTCACGGCTGCAGGCAAGACTCGTCGTCAGAATGCAAGATTCGTGTGACTTCGCTCGCTCATACGAGCGAGAAAAAGCATCCCGGACGACACTCACTTAAGTTCACGGTCTCGTCAGCTCGGCTGGGCTTTAACCATCAAAAGTTAACAGCCAAACGTGCTACCATCCTTCAAAGAATGAGGTGAAGAGGTATAGTACCGAGGTGATGGTAGCAAAAGAGAGAAATCACGCCACCTGACTGCACATGCCCCTATCCAGGAAGGCTGCAGACCCAGCACAGGAGCCCTGTGAGAAGTACCGAAATCCACAACCAGAACAAAGACCCTCAACCCTAAACCCAGCTCAGCGCAGGGCATGCCGTAGTTGGAGCTGCCCCAACCCTGCTCCCGATGCTTCCCGGACTGCACGGCGGCCACGAAACTCTGCACCAGCGCGACGAGCCTGACGGATGAGTTGCTCTGTCGGTCTGCAGACATAGTACAAGTACTGAGTATTCACTGATAACACCCATATTTCTTGTAGTTCCGTTGAAAACTTTGAAGTTATTCAAGTAGTCAGGCTCCTACATGTCAGATGAGGAGAATTGCCTATCATTGCCTGACAAAAGAGAGGGATTCAGCACAGCAGGCTGAAAAACACGCAGCCCAAGGCGTCTGACCTGTACCCTCAAGCACTGAACTGGAACTCTACGACCCTGACCCTAAAGCCCCTGAACGTTGAAGCCCTAACGCCTCAAAGCGGTGCCTAAAGCCTCACACATAGTGCCCTCAAGCCAAAAAGACCCAGTCCCTGAAAACCGAAAGCACTACCGAAGTCCTAAACCCTAAAACAACCTCAAACACCCAGAGCCGAATAGCCCACAACCCTAATGGCCCTCAGCCCTCAAAGTACTAAAGCTCTACTGCGTAAGCCTAAAGCGGCCCTAAAAGCCCGAAATTCCCGAAATTCCCTAAAGACCCCTACGCCCGAGCCCTATGAGGCCCTTCCGCCCATCCCATAACCCTAAAACCTCGAAAACGTCGGAATCTTAAACCCCCAAGGCTCTTAAGCCCTGAACGCCCCAAAAAAGTTGAAAAGCCACAAGCCCCGAAGCCTCAAACTTCATACCCTAGCCCTGAACCCTGCTAGCCCCGAACCCTGCAGCCCCAATTACCCCAAAGCCCCAAAGTTTAAACCCTAAAGCCACTCGTGAGGCCCGGTCCTGGGACGGTCTAACATCGGCGACGCAAACTCCGACTGCAAAGCTGGGCCTCAGCTGAGGGAGCTGTTTGGGTCGTTGTTTTGCTATTTTTGCGTGTGCATTGCTGTCGCCATGTCTACTCTTCTTCTTATTACTAGTAGCACCACGTCTGCAATTATCACCTTCTCATGTGGCCTAGGACTTCGCTAGTTGTGTTTTGGTTTGGTCCTGGTTCAGGGTGCTCGGGGTTTGTGGTTTGGTGTCTAGAGCTTTGAAGTTGTCGGTTAAAAGTTGGAGATCGAAACCCCGAAATCTAAAAGCTCAGAAACCTCGAGGTTGCAGCTCTTACTTGTCCGGTATGCTAAGGGAGCTGAAGGTTCAGTTTTGGGGATTATATATAGGGGTCATTGTACCCCCCAGAGAGGTTGGAGGTTTCCTGCCTACCTACTAAGAAGTCGATTCGTAAATACCATAAAAAAACGACTCACATGGGCTTTCCAGCTTAGAGGCAGGAGCCACTGCAATCAAAGTAACCGACAAACACAGCAGCTGAAAGGCTTAAAGGTCCTCCACCCTGGAAACCCCAAACTGGGAAATACCTAAAATAATGTCTAATAATCAGAATAGGGTCTTGGGGTCTGTTATAGTACAAACACATCTAAACACAATGAGGAGCCCCTCAGGAGCAGTAGTACTAACTAACAGATTATTCAGGCTTATATATTGCTTGTTAAGTCATTTGATCCTCCAAGAACAAACTGGGCCACCCGGCTAAGTTGCCTCAGCTTGCCAGCCATGGACGCCACGTTGACCACCTTGGCCGAGGCGTAGCGAATGCACGGCTTTGTGTGGGGCAGTTCAGGGTTTAGGGTTTGGGCGCTGAGGTGGCGCTGAAGGCTTTGAAACACGACTGGTTAAGGGGCCTTTCGAAGGCTGCATGGGTTTCATGTGCATGGTTGGTGCCTTCCTAGGAACCCAAATATAGTAATATAGCACCCCTACAGTACCCTTTGAGGAACCCTGCGGTAGTACCCTGCTCTTATGGGTACCCTTAAGGGGTTACGGGTATTAAGCTATGGGGACCTAAGACCCCAACTCGTTGCAAGAGGCAGGATTTCGGGGTAGCAGAGTATAGCGGGTTTAGGGTTTAGGGTTTAGGGTAAGGGACGCTAGGGAATATACTTGCTAACTTGTCAGGCCAGTATCCTACATTACTACATCTCCATCCCTCGAACCCACTAAGAGCATCGCGGGACTCGGGTCTCGGGCTTGAATCAACGCTAAACCGTGAAATGTCGATCGTGAACCAGGTCTGGTACCCTTGAGGCATGTAGGGCTTGTCGGGCTAGGATCTGTGACCTGCCAGTAGAAGAAGACGTCGATGGTACCATACTACTTGCTGAGATCACTAAACCCTAAACCCCTAAGCCAAAGATTACCTACCCAGCTACCGAGTGAATGGCCTAAGACTGGCACCGGAGTAAACATGACATTTTAGAGGGGCCTTAACAATTAGTATTTAAATGAGTTGGGTTGTGGGGTAGATTATACTACGTATAGTTATAAATATTATGAAGGGGAACCCCAAGTATAGTATTGGTGGTTGTCTAGGCCCCTATGTTCGAAGGCGGTATCGGTCATTCGAAGGTCTCACGGGGTGATGCAGTGATGCGTCACCACGTAGTACATGCTGCCTACCTAGATTGGAGAGCCCCAAACCCAAAACCGAAACCCTAAACCCTAAACCCTAAACCCCAAAACCCAAAACCCTAAACCCTAAACCCTAAACCATGAAACCTTTCACCTGCATCGCCCCGATCCCTAAACTCTAAATTAAATTACTAAACCCTAAACCCTAAACCCTACACCCTAAACCCTAAGCATCGAACTGTCTACCCCTGAACTCAGATCTCCCGAGCCTAAGGTGGCCTTGTACCCGGCAGCTTGCCCGGAAAACCCACCCGATGAATCATTGGGGTTTAGGGTTTAGGGTTTAGGGTTTAGGGTTTAGGGTTTAGGGTTTAGGGTTTAGGGCCGCCCCTAAACCCTAAACCCTTGACCCTAAACCCTAAATTGAGCCCTTATCTTACTTCAGATTCCTACTAAATTATAAGAACCCAAAACGTTTAAGGGTTGGGTATTGGAGAACTAAGTTGTAGGCCCGTAATACAATCATTATTTGCAGTAGACCTTTGGGATTCCACAAGAACAAAAACCAAAAGTAATTCCTGAGGAACACCCATTGGTTCAACCTCGTCATGGACCCCTTGTGCATCCCCTTTGCAATCCATACGACTGTAGAGCCCCTAAACTCTACACTGGACTCTACACCCTACACCCTGAAACCTGAACCCTGAACCCTAAACAATCCGTGTCACCCTGGGCTCTCGCCCGGCCGCAGCCGATCCGCGGAGGAGAGGAAGCAAGCCTTGAAACAACACAATGCTTAAGGGTTCACTTTAAGATCCGTTTTTGAGGATTCCCTTAGGGGCTCCTACAGTAAAAAGGTGTGCAAAAAAAAGTTGAAATAAAGAAGAGCGAAGGAAACGAAACAAAACAATCGCAATCAAGTGAGTGCGCGTTTGTTTCGTTCTATTCTTAGTTTAAACTGGGTCTTTTCACCAAAATGCCACAATAGTTCTAGCGAGATAGACAAAGCGTGCGTTGCTCTCAAAAGAACTAAGCGAAAACGATACTGAAACGAACACGCGCTCATCTCGTTGTTTCGTTTGTATCAAACAAAACAAATTGATGAGGAATGCATGCGCCTTGCTTCCATTTTAAGACATCTACACCGAGTCTAGAAGCGCTTTGCACATGCTTTCTAAAGCTCTTGTAGGTTTCTATACGGGGGCTTACAACGGTCCTTCGAGGGTTTAGGGCTCAGGATTGAGGGTTGAGAGCTCTTGGGAAATTTCTGCCTGTGAGGCTTCGAGATTGTTTTTGGAGGTGTCTTGGTAGGGTGGAGGATCTTGAAAAACCGTTTCGCATGTGATGCTTGTTGGCCTGACATCACACGCTCATAGTAAAACAGTAGCAACCACGTCTTCTACGCATCATCTGTCATCCCGAACCCTAAATCCCAAACCCTAAACCCGAAGCCCCTAAACCCTAAAACCCTAAAACTCTAAACCCTAAAACCCTAAAACCCTAAACCCTCATCTGGCAGTAGACTGGCACTCGAGCTCGAAAGTACGATTGGCGAACGCAGGGCCGGTGGCGACTGTTGACCGGATTATCGTTTCTCGATTTCCCTAACCCCCCAGGTACCTACTATATAGGGTACTAGAGCCCCTAAAACCCTATATAGTAGGTACCTGGGGGGTTAGGGTTTGCTACCTTGCAACAAGATGCAAGGTTTGTTGGGCGGCTCCCAACGTGAACTGCCCCTCAACCCTAAACCCTAAACCCTAAACCTTACTCTGCGGTGCAGGCTCCAAAATGCAATCGCCTTCACGTCGGCCCAAGGGCAGCATCAGGGGTTTAGGGTTTGGCATTCTTACGCTCCTCCGTCCGGCTGTCCTCCTGTGATGTGACCGCCCTGCTTTCTCCATTTTTCACGTTCACCTCATGGGTGCCACGAGGTCTTCATAAGAAGAGTCCTCAGACCCAACCCTAAACCCTAAACCCTAAACCCTAACAAACCCAAACCCAAACTCTGAACTTCTACTAGTAAAACTAAATGCCAGTTTTGGCTTTGGCATTCATTGGAAAACTCTGGGGAAGCCTAGTCTGGAGTTCAAGCCTCGAGGGCTGAAAGGCTAGAGCTTGTAGGGTTTAGGGTTTGGGGTGTATAGGTGTACCCTCTCGAAAAAAGCATCTCAAACCCTAAACCCTAAACCCTAAACCGTCGAGCTACAGGGTCGAAGAGTAGCCTCCTGCCAGCTGTAGCCAACGGCCTTTCTCGAGAAGCCCAGCTCGCCGGATATTGAGTTAGTTTAGAGCTTAGGGCTTAGGGATCATAGGGTGTAGGGTTTGGAGTTTAGGGTTTAGGGTTCTAGGGTTTAGGGTTTAGGGTTTAGGGTTTAGGGTTTAGGGTTTTAGGGCCTAGGGATTATAGGGTTTAGGGTTTAGGGTTTTAGGGTTTAGGGTTTAGGGTTGAGGGTCTAGGGCTTAGGGATTATACGGTTTAGGGACTAGACCAAAGTTCTAGAAGTGGCTTCTACATGTAGGGCCCCAGGACAGTACCCCAATACAGAGGCAGCGGGACTTCCTGTGTTAGGCAGCACATAGAACTGCTGGTAGATGACATTGGGTTTACCCATAGGCCCCATAGTAGTTCCTTTTTGGGTTTACCTTATAGGGTTCTATATATGAACCCCAAAAGGAACTACTTTAGGGCCTATGGGTAGTTTAGTGTTCTTGGCTTCACTCTAGCAGACCCTAAGCCCGGAAGCCGACGGCTTCTTTCGGTTGGCGGGCAAGCATTGTTGCGCGCGAATTGCAAGTGAAAGTTGCATTAATCTAGGAAAAATAGCTGTCAGGATCTGCCGGCATTCGAGCATGTTGAGTTCGAGCCATCAACTCATCATCCCATCACCTCGTCCGGACCTCCGAACCACAACGCTCAGCAACAAGCACGACATCCTGTCAAGCCGCGATCGGTGAGCCGCATCGTCGCGAACAAGTTGATGGCGAGCCTGGACACAGCGCAGTCACACATCCGGACTCGGGGCTCAGGATTAGGAATTCACCTCGACTTTGCATTGTGCTGCAACGGCTTATGTCGACAGTATAGGACAGCCTCGTCCGAAACATCGTGACATAGAGTGAACCTGCATAGGCTTCGTATTGCTAGTATTCGGATCTCCTTTATTAGTCACTTGAAATGCCGGATAGAATTCCATCTGAAGGTTGAGGGTCCGGGGGTTTAGGGCTGTAGGGATGGAAGGTTACGTTCTCCGTGTATGTAGTAACAAAAAACAACACCAAAGATTTTAAGAAACAACTTTGAAGATCTGACCACAGTCTAGGGTTTGGGGTTTCGGCCGTTAACCCTCCACCCTAAAGGCAACGTGCGCCTTAATGACCACAGGGTTTGGCACGGTCCATGGTTACGTAAGATTTGCAAGAACGTGGTACACATGGGTTTGTGTGCACTTTTTTGGGCAACAAGTTTGTTTTGGATGATTTCAAAGTACCGTTTTTGCCAGGGATTTGTGTGTCGAAGTACGAAAACCCACTGGAGTTTCTCCAACCTTCCGAATGCAATTGTGCAGCCGGCCTCTTTTTCACAAACTGATTCTTGTTCTCGGCGTCTGCCAACCGACTAAGGTCCGTCGACAGCTACTGCGGAGTATTGGAACGGAACATACAGGGAAAGCTATGATTATGACGGTGATGATGATGATGATGATGATGTTGATGATAGTGATCGTGATAGTGATGATGATGATGATGATGATAGTGATAGTGATAGCGATAGTGATGATGATGATGATGATGATGATAGTGATGATGATGATGATGATGATAGTGATGTTGATGATGATGATAATGATGATGATGATGATGATGATGATGATGATAGTGATGATGATAGTGATGAGGATGATGATGATGGTGATGATGCGCATGTTGATGACGTGGAAGTACTGTTCTTACCTGGGCTTTGTGTGTCGAAGCACGATGATGATGATGGTGATGAAGATGATGATGATGATGATGATGGTTGGTGGCGCAGTGGACGTCATTACCCCCACCCCCACCCACCCACCCTACCCCACCCCACACCCCGCCAGGGAAGCCTTAAACCTGCAAAAACCTGCTAAAACCCCATGGTCATTAAGGCGCGCGTTGGACTAAATTAAACCGTATGATATAACTTCTAACTCCAGTCACACCGCTTCCTTCCTGATATTACAGCTCGTTTCATAAATCCCCAATGCCAGGTTTGATGTGGCCCAAATCAGGGTCTAGGGCAAATTTTATAATTAGGGCTTGATAATAGGGTTTAGGACTTGTAAGGGGCAGAGGGTTTAGGGCTTCTAGGATTTCGCCATCCCTGCCACCAAAAATGCTGCGGAAGGGCGTTGGCACTGTTTGATCCTTGAAAGGCGTGGGATCAGCTGCTTTGAAGGCGATGGCCGCATTGTTGACAAGAACATCGAGCTGCTGATACTTCGTCCTGAGTTCTTGGTTTGGTACCCCCAATAGCCATACCATGCCGACCCAGTGCTACCATAAAGTGCGTTACTAGAGGTTGCTGATGTCAGAAACTTATCACCCCCGTCGCCGGAGAAAGCGTTACCATAATCACTGTACCCACTGCCACTGTAGAGGGTTGGTTTCACTGGCGATGTCAATTCTGACATCTAGTCACTCTGACTGCTATGAACTGTGATGCCACGGCTACGCTTGAAGCTCTTGCTAGGTTCAGGGGCTACTGAGCACCCATGTCTCATTGCCTGTTGTCTTGAGCCGTGTTCATGCTGCTAGGTGCATGTTTTTGGTATTGCTAATCACGCAATGCGAGCAGAATTCGTGGCAAATGTCGGTATCATCTTGATTCAGAAGCCTCTCTACGGATTCTGCTTGGACGTGAATGCTACTAAGACTTTTAACTTATGCATTGCATCTTACCTTGCGGCCCAAGAAAGTTGAGGCAGCACGCAGGTGTGCAGATCGAGGCAGCACGCATTTTTTGTTCCGAGTTCTCTGAGACTTTGTGGTTTAGGGGAAGTTTGGCTCGATATGAAAAATGCATTCCACTTCCACTTTTTGCGTATGGCTGAGTCGGCACGCAGAAGTTTGGTAGCACGCTGTGCGAGGCAGCACGGTCAGGGAGGCCTTTGATTGATTTAGTTCGGATCCTGCCTTCGGTGCTATGTAGGGGCCTTAATAATTGGAATAGGGTTCTGAAAGTTCCTTACTATAACTAAAGTATGAAATACCCCAAACCCTCATCTAATTATTAAGACCCCTATATATTCATGGCCACGGTGTCTGCTGTCACTCTGCACCTGTGTCCTTCTATTTATACAACAGTCACTACAGTCTTAGAGGGGGTTTAAGCCTGTTTCTTGCATGCACTCTAAAGTGACGGCTCTTGTGGCGGGTGGCGAGCCCCTAAACCAAGACAAAAACTAAGCCCTAAGCCCTATACCTAAACCCTAAAGCCCCATACCCGAAAACCCTGAAACCTAGATCCTACACTCCTACATCCCTAAGCCCCGAACCCCAAATGTTCCGAAAACCATGGACTCTTGATCCTATACACTCCTAAATCCCTAAGTTAAGCCCCGAACCCGCCGAAAAAATCCTAAACCCTAAACCCTGAACCTCGAATCCTAAACTCCCTAAACCCTAAACCTTAAGCGAAGCAGAGGATCTCCATGGTGGATGCAAAAGCTTCGATGGACGCATCGGATCCCAAGTCCTCCGTGCTGGCTAAGGGTTTAGGGGTAGAGGGGTGTAGGGGTCTAGGGGTTTAGGGGTGTGTGTGTGTGTGTTTTTTTTTTGGGGGGGGGTCTAAGTTTAAGCTTTAAGTTTAGGTGTTTTGGGGTGTAGGGTTTAGGGTTTGGGGGATTAAGTTTAGGTTTTAGGGTTTAGGGTTTGGGGTGTAGGGGCTTAAGTTTAGGGTTTAGGGTGGGCAGGAAACGGATCTACATGAGAAGTGGGGCGTCACAGGAATCGCACGGGGTTTGCAATAGGCTTGATCTGCTTAAGTTTTGTCAGGCCCCGGGCTTAATATTGGGGCCTGACTGGCTAGGAATTAGTTGGAAGGCGAAAACGTGCTGTTGATCTCCCTTCGAATCGAATCCAATGTAAGGCAGTCTGTTGCCAAGTTTGCTTGGTTTCCTGCTCGATCAGAAATCAAGGAAGCCCTTTCCCTAGACCCTAAATGCACCCCCACAGTGCCCCGAACCTTGACCCCCTATATTGAATCACAGCCTTAAACCCTAGACCCTAAACCCTAAACCCAAAAAAACGTTCAAACCCAAGACCCTAAACCCCAAAACCCTAAACCCAAAACCCTTAACCACCTAAACCCTTGAACCAGTAAACACTTAAATCTCAAACCCTGAACCCCAAAGCCCTAGACGCCAAAACGCTAAACCCATAACCCTGCAAACCCATATCCCCAAACCCTTAAACCCTGGACCCGAAAAACCCCTAAACCCTTAAAAGCCTAAACCCTAAGCCGGAAACCCCTGGAAACCCACATCCAAAACCCCTTAAACCCTGGACCCGTAAAGCCTGAAACCCTAAGCCCAAAGCCCTGCTTTAAGCCCTAAACCCTATATAGACCCTAACTTAAGCCCTGAACCCTAAACCCTAACTTAAGCCCTAAACTCTAAACCCTAACTTAAGCTAAACCCTATAAACCCTCAGCCCTGAACCTAAACCCTACGCCCTAAACCCTAAACCCTACGCCATAAAACCTAAACCCCACGCCCCAAGCCCTAAACCCCTCCAAAAACCCACCCTGTTGCCCATAGCCCTAAACCCTAAACCCTAAACCCTGAACCCTAAACCCTAAACCTTAAACCTATGGGTGGTGCCGAGGCTCGAGGAGTTCAAACTCGCAACCCAGGCGCCGCGCGGCCTCGGAGGCC